TCATTTCCATTGGTCTCAAGATATTTTTTAATTTTTCCTTTTGATTTTTGTAAAATGTCAATAGGGAATTTTATCAAATTAGAAATACTAGTTTATATTCATTCATGGAAAATATATACAAACACACATTAAGAGAGAGAGAATATGAACATGAGAAGGCAGTTAGGAGAATATCTCCTTCTGCTCTCCATTGGGGTGAAATAGTTAAGCAATTTTGGATGCCAGTGATTTGGGATCATCATAGGTGTTCCACAAACCAACAATATTGTACATGGAGAATGTGAGAAGTCAAAATAGTCTGTCCACAAAGACTAGCTCAGGCGTTTGCTGCTTTCTATCTTGCTGTCCTTTAGTTATTCTGATTACAATGGGTACACTTTGAACAATAGGCCTTTATGAGCTTGTATAGTATTGCCAGCCCATTTAGAGTCTATGAAGCTTGGAGGAGACTGAATCACACACTAGGGAGCACTACCTGGAGATCTGGTGCCAAAATTAGCCTCAGAAGTCTTAAATCATCTATCAAATAATATAGTCAAATAATTCTTTTTAAAAAAAGTATTATTAATAGCCTGAGATGCAAAATTTGTTTTTAGCTTTCTAATATCCTCTTGTTTGTGATTCAGATATTATTCCTGGCCTCCTCATCTCAGTCAAAAGTCCAATCTGTCAGTAACATTGAACATCACTGTGAAAGAATCCTATAGTGTCTGTCCGTCTGTCCATCCATCCATCCATCCATCCAACAGATAACTGTTGAATTTCTGTTGTGCTCCAGGTGTCGTGCTGAGTCTAGATATGGACACAGCATTGCAATCCTTGCTCTTAAGGAAATTTCAGTTCAGTATGACACAAACTAAGGAAGCACTGGGTGTCATTTCTGTTCTCATGCAGTTTCTAATGTTCCAGTAATAAGGTTATTTTAAAGTAAATTGTAGTTAAATGCATTTATACACATACAACTAGAAATGACGAAATGATGTGCTATTCGATAATATAATTAAGAGAAATGATTAGGTCAGTCATTCAACATTTAACACACAGTTAATAAGTGCTTACTCTGCACTAGTCTCTCTTCTAGGTTGGAAACAGAAAATAGATAGTAAGTGTCAACTTAGAAAAAACAAAAGGAGAGCATTTCTTTGGGGTCTTAGAATTGCAGTTCGGGGAACACAGGTTCCACAGCAGCCAGAAAAGTGTCCCCCTGAGGAGTAAAAGTCAGGAGTTTTTATGAGCAAAAAGGAGAGCCCAGAACAACCACCTCAGTTATTTGCTAGGGAGGGTCACTTTATGTTCAGCTCATTGGCTTACTCAAGGACATCTTGTTATTACTAGAAAAAAGTATATTTTTGCATAGCCCTTCAGAAAGTCCTTTCTGAGCAAATAACTCCCTTTTCTCAGGTCAGCAAGGTCAGCATAGTTTCGTGTTTTTAACAAGATGGAGTCCAGGGTACAAAATGGAGTTGCTGTTGTCAGCTCTTTTCACTTAAATAACCAGCTACTCTGCTGCCTTTCCATTTCTGGCCCTGGCTCTGATTTGGCTGGAGGAAAATCCTGTGGTTAGGAAAGGGCTACAGCAAATACGAATCCTCAAAGGGTTCCCTTTGCTGAGCTCTAAAGCAAGTCACAGTATCCAGGAGCTCCTACCAGGCTGCTTTGTCTGCTACGTGTTTTTGTACTTCATATGGGACCATTGAGATTATCTAACTCAAGAAAAGTTTTGTTTTTGTTCTTGTGGGTTTTTTGGTGAGGAAGAGTCACCCTCAGCTAACATCTGTTGCCAATCTTCCTCTATTTTTGCTTGAAGTAGATTAGCCCTGAGCTAACATCCGTGCCAGTCTTCCTCCATTTTGTATGTGGGTCACCTCCACAGCATGGCTGATGAGTGGAGTAGGTCCACACCCAGGATCTGAACCTGTGAACCTGGGCCGCCGACATGGAGCACATAGAACTTTAACCACTTGCCCACGGGGCCAACCCCAAGAAAAGTTTTTAACAGCCATGCCTGTGGATAGTGTTAGACTTGGAAGATCTACACCTCTAGTCAGAATAAAAGAGAAACTGCAAAGGCAATTGAGTCCTCTGTTTTTAAGATCAGGTCCACACAGTACACTTTGAAGGAAGGGCGGAAACTTTTGTCCATCTGACAGATGTGCCTTAGGAAGAGGAAAACTTCAGTTTAAAAGGAAGAGGATAGCATAATTCCAGAGCGTCAGACGAAATGCTGTCTTTTCTTTTTCCTGATGAATAAGTGAAATGGTAACGAGTACTTAATATTAGATTGAATTAGCAGGAATTCAGCTCTTTGTGGTCAAGCAGCAGTGGAATTGTAGGTCTTAGCCTGCCATAAACTTATAAACCACTGATGAAAGGTGTCAGGTGGGTATAATTTATTTAGCATGTCTTGAGGTATGGAAAGGGTGTAGTACTGGACTCAAACCTGTGATTAAAGAACAAGACACAGGGAGGTGTGCCTTGTGCCAGAATGTCTGTACCCAGCTCGGGGTGTTGGTGAAAGGTGGATGCTGTGGCACTTTGGGAAGCTGCAGTGCACAGATCCTGATGTCTCTTTCTACACTTCTGAAAGGTCTTATTTTTATTACTCTGTTTATGTGAGAACTCAGTTACAAGTTGATGAAACTAAGGAACTTAAAATTTCTTAGCTCAAATCAACTGTCACTATTGAAGTAGGCCTGCTTTCAAGACAAAATAAAACTGTATTCAGCTTGAATCTAAACAAAATTAAGCTCTGCTCTGTACTGCAAAGGCTGCCAAACTAGTTTTGGCAGAATACCAAGAAGAAAAAGTTTCACAGGCAGAGCCCCTTAGCTGTGTGCTGCCAGTCTTGGGGCTTCCACCCCGAGAGAGGTTTACATCATCGATAGCGTGAGAGCCAGTAGGAGTACAGAATCAAATCAAAGCAGCAGGCCGTATTCCATTACAAAATATACCATCACGTCCCAGTGCCTTTATATGAGAGAGATTACCAGTGGTCCATTAAGATTCCAGCATCATACAAAAACTGACATAGATCCCTTCTTTTAATATGCTGGAGTATACAGAACTATGTGTGTGTTATAAATGCACTCCAAAAGACCCACCCCTTTGACTAAAAATTTACTCAAAGTTTGTTGTAAGGGAATTTGACCCTTTGATGATCCTTGGCTATTTGCCTTCAGTTTAAATACCACTTGAATATAAACAGGGTAGAAAGCCTGTCTCTACCTCCCCATGCCCCACACGGTCCCCTGAGGGTACTTGCTGGCAGGAGAGTGCGATCATTCTCCCGGCCGGAGGGGGCCACAGTTGAGCTCCTAGGGCCTCAGCACTACAGTGCTTCCTGTCTTTATGGTGCTGCCCGGTGGCAGCCCCTGTGCCTGGGGTGAATTAGGAAGGATCCAGGGCTTGTTACTGGAACAGACCCAAACTAACAGCTGTGCAAGCACACCCGCACAGCACTGGTGGCGGCCGTGTGGAGTCACAGACCGCGCTCCTGGCTTGTGGCTCCCCCATCGCTGGGGTCTCCCCTTCACAGATAGCCTGATGTGGCCCACCACAAGGAGGAAAGGACACAACTCACAAGGCGCCCACTTTACTTCCAGTCGTATCCTTTTTGAAAAAAGGGGAGCGTGGATATTGAGGATAATTATTCATATCATATTCCTGAGATGTTCGTGTTCTAAATTAGTGTGAGTGCTGCAGCATGCCTTCCTTTATAGCAGCTCCTTTGCCCAGTCCAGGCAAAGTGTTTGTCTTAAAGCATGACCACACCCAGGGAGTAACTGGCACTGCGACGTCATCGTTAAAGTCACTGTGTGCTGGATACAGGACTTAGAGTGTGTTCTGAAATTTGCCACACCACTGTGATCAAGGAACCGTTTATTTTTTTAATATTTGTTTCTTAGTCAGTTAGGTAGAATTTGCTTATCTAGTTTATAGATTTGTGATGAGAATTATATGTTATTTTCCAGGGAGTTAAAAGATTTATTAGATAATGATTATCTCAGTTTGAAAACTTAGGCTTTAATTTTTTTCAAAAAATTTTCATGTCAGATAGAGCATACATTAGAAGACAGTAGTTATTGCAGGTCAGATTTGTCTCAGAAGCGTAAAAGCTTTAAAGTCATGAATATGTCTTGCAGATGGTTCTGGCAGTCCAAGCTTTCGTTGTAGCCATCTTGCCGTGAGTGCACTGTGGTCAGCTTGTGCGTTTGCACTTGGATAACCCTCCTCCTTCCAGCTGGAAGGAATGGAGACGTTTGCAGCTTTTAGTATGGAGAATTCATAGCAAAAGAACTTTTTAGTGGAAGAGTGTTCTTCCATGAAAACTCACGTGGCCTTTCTTATAATACCTACACCTTGGTCTTCAAAAAGAAAGGACACACTCAGTGCCACCCGAAATGCCCTCTCCTGCTGCAATGGCCAGGTGTTCCCGGCAGGCTAGAATAGAGGTGAACGTCCAGCCCTGGTGCATCATGGTCACACTTGCCGCCACGTCTGGGTGGCCCTCTCCACACTGCTACCACGGAAATGAACCCCGGCAGTGCTGGACTTGCACAGAACGGTGAGGTGTTGGGTCTGGTCTCAGGAGAGGCCTTTCTCCGTGGCTCACAGGTGGCCGGCTTCTTGCTGTCTTTCCTCTGTGCAGGCCCATGCCTGCTGTCTGTCCCTCTTCTTATAAGGATGCCAATCCTCTTGGATTAAGGCCCACCCTAATGGCCTCATTTTAACAGAATCACCTTTTAAAGGCCCTACCTCCAAATAGTTACATTTTGAGATACTGGGGAGTTAAGACTCAATATAAATTTTGAGGGGACACCTCAGCCCATAACTGTATGAAACATGAAAGAATATTAATATTAATGAGTGATGTGGCTCCCTAAAGTGAAATTTAAACTAAAACACTTGCAGATTTCCTTGCGTGCTTCCATTGCGTTCTCATAAATGTCTGAAAACATGGAGACTTAGTTGTTTCCTGTGCTGTGTTTCTCTCCTGGCAGGCCTGGCAGCTGCGGTTCAGCCACCTCGTGGGCTACGGTGCCAAATACTACTCCTACCTGATGTCCAGGGCAGTAGCTTCCATGGTTTGGAAGGAATGTTTTCTACAGGATCCTTTTAACAGGTAATAAGAGGGAGTGGGACTTCATAAAATGTCCCCTTCTTCAACTTCAGTAATCCCCCACCCTTGCATCCAAAGTCAGACTCCGAGCACCTCGGCAGCTCGGGGCACAGCCTGAGCCTGGGGAAGCTCAGGCCCCAGGAGGCGTTCTCAGCACGGCCCAAACCACCCCGGGCCTCCGGCTGAGCCTCCTCCCGCTCACAGAGGTCGGGCCCTGGGCTTCCTTTCCACAGCACCCGCTCCCACGCCCCGGCCAGGGTGTGTGCCATCTGTCTGCCCGCAGGGACCCTCGCATGAGGGCTCTTCACTTTGCACGAAATGGGCCTCGACTGCTTTGTCTCCATGCCTCTCCTGCGGGTTTTCTTCGTTTCCCAGCCTCCCCTATTGTTGGTACCCTGCTGCTCGCAGTGCTTCCTGTCACTTTCACAAGCGTCCTTATTTTTAGCACAAACATCTGAAGTTTCACTCACGTGAACACCTTATTTCTTCTTTATTGCCCAACAAAGGACTTGTTACTATTTTTCATTTGGGAGCAGTACCACTGGAAACTTTATTGACAGTTGCATCCAGTTTGTTCTGGAAAGTTCCCCCTCTGCCAGACTTTAGGACAGTTTCTTCCCTGGGGAGGTCCTCCCCATGGGAGACGGTGGCAGTCTGAAGAAGGGCTCTGCCAACCGTTCTGTCCACAGCTCCCCTTCATGGGGGCACTGGCGGCCACTGAGGGAGTGGGTAGCTGCAGAGCCCCGCCCTGCATTGCCCAACCGGCCTGCCATCCAGGGCCCTCCTGAGCAGCCTCGCTTGCCATGTCTCCCATCAGGATAGTCAGTGGTTCAGACAGCACAATTGCAGTTTTCTCAGTAGAAACTACACAAATGTGTGTGTGCGGGGACCCCCTGGCCCCTCCCAGAGCGGATGCCGTTAGATTAGCCGGTGCCTGTGGTGAGCCTGGACTGATTCCATGGGGAAGTCCTGGTAGGTGGCTTCCTGTAGGGACACGTGATGCCCACTCTGCCTGACAGCGGAGGCAGGACGTGGAGGAGCTGGGGGCTGGGACAGGCAGCCCCCTTTCCCCGGGATCTTGAAGGCCCTGTTGGGCAGAGGACGGGAGAGCTCCTGCTGCTCCCTGCCTGGGCCTCCTTGTGAGGCTCCTCACGGGCTCCTCTGAAAGTGGGAATCACGGGGAAGTCAGGTCCGGTTTCGTGGATCCTGAGAAGGAGCTTTCTTTGAAAGAAAACCACTAATGAGGATCTGGTCTAATAGTTGTTTAAAACATTTTTCTCCTCTTCACACAAATAAATTCATGTCCACATCCCTCTCAGGCAGCCGTGGCTGGTGACTGTTATCTTCAGTGCTCTCAGGGTTTGTGATTAGTGGCAGCTTAGACTCTGGAGCGCCCTAGAGTGTCCAGATGGCGTGTCATTTTCCTTTCCCAGCAGCCTTGGCACAGTGGTGAGGCTCAGAGAGGACAGCGCATTTGTTAGGGCTGCACAGGTAGAAACTGGACCAAGATTATCATCTAGGTCTCGAATTCTAGTCCCTGCTCCCTCCTGCCTCCTCCACACCCCTCAGCTTTCCCTAGAACTTGACATGAGTTTGGATTTTCTCAGCAGTTAATAGTCACATTCAGTTCTAGAATCTTTTGAACTCGAATGTGATGTCATAGAGTTTTTAAATGTTTTACAGCCTGGCACCCACATGTTATTTTCTCTTCTGCCCTTTGCACACTGCAGACATTTGGTCTGCTTTTCAGATTTTATTATTTTCAAAGGATCTAAAGCCAGAATTGACCACAGTAAATCAATTTTGGGGATTACAATTCTTTACTGGAGATTTCTGTAAAATAGGCAAAATATTATCTTGTTTAAAGGAACTATGCTTTACTAGAAAACCACATACTATTAAATACATGTATTTCCAAGTATTTATATCTTGTTTTGTATGCATTCTTGCCTAGACATGTAGTTGCCGTACTTTTATAGACATGTAAAAGTAAGCTAGTAAAAACACTCATTGGACTAGGAAATTCCTAACCTCTGTCAAAAGATCCTTCTTGATCTCAGATCTGAAGAATCCCTGGGCTGGAAGCCCCCCTTCATCAGGACGCCAGGCAGCGTGGAGCGGAGGCAGGCCAGCAGCTGGAGGCCTGAGAGCAGGAGTTTACTTAGGGGAGGGCGCTCCGTGCCGGGCGGGGAGGGCTTGCTGAGCCCCCAGACCAGAGGTCAGGTGGGGCCTCCCAGCCACCTCATCTCCCAGAAGGCCCAGCTTTCTGTCCACGTTTCCTGCTTCCTGGCACACTTTGCCATAGAGCTCCTTCAGGATGTAACCAAGATTCCTGTTTGATGTCACCATGTGGGCAGTGACCCACATGCAAAGTGGAGGAAGATTGGCACAGATGTTAGTTCTGGGCAGATCTTCCTCAACAACAGCAACAACAACAACAGAAGTCTTTACGATCTGCCTTCACGTATTGTAGACAGTGTTCCTTATAGAATCCAGCTGACAGCGTCACACAGTGAGAATGAGCTCTTCGCCCTTTGTCCTCCCCACCAGTTCATGCGAGAGTCAGTTGTCTCTTCCATTAGCTGTTGTCCTTAGCCAGGGTCTCCTGGTCTAATTAACCCTCTCCTGCCAGCTTTTTTGCCTTCCCTCTTATTTCAGAGTACTATTTTTCTCTCTCTGTTGGATGCCGTCCCAGATTCTTTTATGAAAGTAAAGAATGCCATAAATGATTTCAAATCACACTTTTAAAATAATCCTAAAGATGATGGAGAATAGAATATAATTTTTTACTTATTCTATAATACATTAAATAATCCTTTCTATGAAGAGAGTTTGCTTGCTACAAAACATAAAGCTAAAAATATAGTTATCCTTTTATAGTAAATATATCACACCTGGTTCTACTTGTTAGAATAAGTAAAAATCAGAATTAGATTTTTAGAAGCAAGAAAATAATAAAGGGCCAGTTGTCTCGTGGTGGCAGCTTTTCTGAATGTGACATCAGTGTGGCTTCACACTGAGACAAGTGTGATGGGGCCCAAGCCAGCTGTGTGCACAGGTGCCTGTAACAGAATCTCCTGTCCCCCCAGGGCGGCAGGAGAGCGCTACCGCAGGGAGATGCTGGCGCACGGCGGGGGCAAGGAGCCCATGCTCATGGTTCAAGGTAAACAAAGCAACGAGTGCGAACTCTCCTGTGATCCGTTGTTTTTTTAGGGTTTTATGGGTTATATGTCCTAGTATTGGCACTTTGAGTTATGTTTTTGCACCATCTATAATGAAAGCTGTTTCACGTTTTCTCCACACACGTTTTTTGTTTGAAAGCAATGATGCTTCAGCTGTGTACTTTGTTCTGAGCATCTATTTCATTGTATCCCAAATAACAAATTAAACTTTAGTTACTGTGATTTATTTAGAATGCCAGGATAACATTTCAAAATGTTACTAACACTCTAATAGGAAATCGTTAAATTTGTCATAAATTCTCAGAGGGTTTGCCTTTAGATTTTAATAGGTCACAATGTATTTCTTTAGCCTAAAGAACTCATTTATTTCTTATTCCTTAATTTCTTTCTCTGAAAGCTTAGCCATACATTTGCTAGAATTCCAAGGCATCAAGTTGGATTTTTTACCTGTTGAAAAATTAGAACCTAATTAAATCTTTTCTTTGAGGTATCACAATGCTTGTTTTCCTATGTAATTTTGGAGGTAACTTTTTAATTTAATTATTTTCACTGAAAATGTAATTGTAAATGGACCTGACCATCATGACTTTGCATAAAATGTTCTCACAGATATTTAAGGAAGATGTGGATATTACTGGACTTTCTCAGTGTATCAGCATTTATACTTGCAGGTGATCCCTCTGACTGTCTGATCAAGACTGCATTTAGGAAATAACTTCTGGTATTAGAGAAACATTGTTCTCCTTGTAGTAGTCGGTCCTGATAGTAATGGGTCTGCTGTAACTGTTTCCTTGTTTAGATCTGTTCCATCAAATACCTATTGCCCTTTCTAGCAGAGCTCCAGATCTTTCCTTCAGCTCTTCATTTGTTCAGCTTAACTTGTCGCCAGGCACTATTATAAGTGTGAAGGTGAAGCATTGAAAGACAACGTATGCAAAAATCCTGCTCCCATGGAGATTCCTTCCATCAGCCTTTCCAGAAGGGTGTGTTTATCCAGGCCCAATGCCACAGCAAGCTTGTAAAACAAATCAGCCAGCCCGGAGATCCTGCACTTTATGTAGCCCAGCCCGGCTGTCCTTTGCCAGTGGCACTTGGGTCTCCCATCAGAGCAGCATGCCCCAGAGTTGTCCTCCTGAGATGAGGAAGGCATGCTGATGCTGCCCCAGCTTCCCAGTTGACCCCTCTTGGCCCTTATTGAACTCTGCTACATCCAGGAACTTTTTTAAATGGTTTTCATGCATTGACTAATTTAATCTTCTAGCAACCCTATGAGGTAGGAATTATTGTTATTCCCATTTTACAGATGATGAAACAGGTCAGGTGCCCGCCCATGTCATGAGGCAGTGAGTAGAAGAGCCAGGATTCGAACCTGTGACTTCTGGCAACAGAGACCAAGCTCTTCTGTAGTCTGTGCTGTTTCACGTTGGTGGTACAGGACACCCAGTTAAGGGTCTGTTATAGACTCAGGTAAAAGTGAAATTAATTGGCTCATAATAGTAAGCAACTACTAGTTTAAATTATGTACTTTTTAGCTCAAAGTTTATGGTGCTGTGTATACAGCCTACTGTGAGTTGAGAATGGAAGAGATGCCCCAGGGTTGCTTTCTCGTGTAGATTTTCTGTTAGGTATATTCTCCCAGTAGCTGTGCTTAGCTTATGCTTTTTGAGACAGGGTCTCCATGCTATTTGCACGTAAATATTAGCTTGCGTATGGTTCCATCAAAAGAAAACAATTAAATCCTTTTCACTGTTTGTCTTTCAGCTGGTGTATTTTTCTACTTTGCTTCCAAGAACGTTGTGGCAAACCTCTCTAAAACTTGTTCTTTATAGGAAAAATTTTTGTGTTAAGAAACTTAATATTTTTCACACTAAAATTCACACACTGATGAGAGAAAAACAAGACTGTGGTTCCAACCAGGGATGCTGAAGTATTCAGATTTCAGTTAACACCAATAATAGAACAGTTCTGCTTTTAAATTTTAATGTTTTTCTTAATGTTGTTCTGTCAGATCTTACCAATTCACATGATTTGTTACATGTCAAAGATGAATGGGGGACATGCAAAGAGGGTATGCCTATTGTCACTTTATAGGGCTGGAGTTGTAAGCCAAGACCGGCAGTGGCTTCTCGGTTTCTTATATGCGGCCAACCTGTATCCCAAACAAGACAGTCTTAGATGATGGCTATAGCCTTAACATTGGGGTACCCCTAGGAATACTGATGGGCGAAATTACTGAGAGTTGTGATATAAAAGCATAAATGATCTAGTTGGTATTATTCTTTTATGAAAATATAATTTTTTATAGGTGCTGTATGTATTTTATTTAACTATTTACCAGGTATTTGTGAAAAATTATATTAAGTAGAAAAAGGTAAAGAAATAGAATCCTTAGCTTCAAATCATGTACCTCCCTGACCACATGACAACTTTATTAACCTCCTTACTGAAGACTTATGTTTCCAATTAACTCCAGGCCATTCCTTAGAGTCAGAATACCTATGCACTGTGCTTATGCTCTTTGAATGGTACATATTCAAAGAAATCAAATATGTAATGCTTTTGATTGTTGGATAATAAGTACCATGCAGGTGAACTTTTAGCTTACTTACCTTTTTTAGAACGAGCATCATTAGCTCTGAGTCCCTTTGTCTTTTCCAGTCGTGTCCCCATTCTCCCCCACCCCGCATCTCCCTGTGGCCAGAACCGGTCAAAGGAAGCCCCGGGAACACAGCACTCCTCTTGGTCCTGCTGTCCCTGCGAGGCAGCCACTCTCTGTGCTGACTCCTCCTGCACTGAGGAGCCTCGCAGAAAGAGTAGGTTGCAGCCCCAAAGCTTTTCTTCAAGAATCTGTACTTTTTCCCTCTCAACACTCTTAAACACCATTTGAAGACAGCAAAATAGTGGCTAAAACAGTATTTCCTTTCTCAGAGAAGGAAAGTGAAATAGTGCAATAGAATTGGATTTGCAGTTACTAGCTCTGCTACTTACTATCTGTAAATTAGCTGCGAAAGTCACTTCATCTCCCTGATGGAGATAAAATGTGATTGGATTCAGAACGCGTCTTTCTAATCTGCTTCTCCTTAGCTCCTTTTTCAGTCGTCTCAGAAGGTGTGTGTTATATAATTGATATAGTCAATGTGATAGAAATTCAGAGCATTACAGATTGCAATTATGTCCTTATCTAGTTTTAAACACATTCATACCAGGTATTAAGATATATGTTATAAGCACAATATTCAGTTGCTTAATACTCCACTAAGCACAGTATGGCCGTACCTGACTGAAACCAACTTTCTTAATTGCCAACAATTCTGGGGTGAGGTTGAACTCTTTGTATTCAAAATTTGAAGACAATTCAAATTCAGATATCTAATTGTCAATATTAAGTTTTTCTGCTGTTCATTCCATACCCCAACAATGTCTTTTGGTTTATGTTAAGTATCACATTTCATAGTAATAAGAGAACTTAAAGCTTTTGCTTAAAATAAACCATGATGATACAGTATTTTTATTCATTTTGCCATTTTTAAAAATATGTACTAGAATATGTTTTGATTGTGCTAAGGAACATGATCAAAGTTCAGCTCCTGTTATAATCATGTCAGAAAATGTATGGTGTTCTAGAAAGATAAACATGCAGTAGGGCTCATGAGCAGCAAGGAAGTAACTGTGTACCCGCCAGGAAGCAGAGCTGTTCCCACTACAGCAAACAGAGCCTGGAATTGTATGGCTGTTAGGGATCGAAGCTGTGTTATTTCAGCAGTTTGTAAATGACAGATCAGTTACTCACGCAAGGTTGCATTTCTTCCTCTGTAAACCACTTTATCTTTTAGTGGTTTATGTTATTTAAAATTCTTGAGTAAATGGCCTTTGTTAAGTGTTTTGGTTCAGATTTTACTTATCTTTAAATAACCAGAAACAACACCTAACATTGAAAAATTGCCACGTGCCAGGTGTTGTCTGCTGTGCTGTCTCATTTAATCCCCTATAGCGTAGGTCATGTTTCCCCCATTTTCGTAGGTAATGAAACTTAGTCAAAGTTCATTCTGTTTCCATGCTGACTCTCCTGCTGACTCCCACGTCTTCCTCAGGTGGTCTTTAAATTCTGACTTGAGATTGAGCTGCTCTTTAGAATGTGGAAGATGCAAGTGACGTGAGCCTTGAGGCTTTAGTGATCTGAAAGTCTAGGTTTGTTTTTCTAATGTCACATCCTAACTATTCCCATTGACATTGGAGAGGCCTGCCCAACATCCACTGCTCAGCAGTAAAATTTTCCTTTCTCTGTTTTCATATAAGCCCCTTTAGACTTTTGTGGCCAAGCTGTCAACTCAGTTTATCGTCATTTTTAGTCATGGTGGTTCCTTCTTTGTTTATTTTTTTCTTGAGGAAGATTAGCCCTGAGCTAACATCTGCTGCCAATCCTCCTCTTTTTGCTGAGGGAGACTGGCCCTGAGCTAACATCCGTGCCCATCTTCCTCTACTTTATATGTGGGACGCCTACCACAGCACGGCTTGACAAGCAGTGCATAGGTCTACACCCAGGATCCAAACCGGCAAACACCAGGCTGCCAAAGCGGGACGTGTGAACTTAACCGCTGCGCCACCAGGCTGGCCCCAGTCCTGGTGATTCTGATACAGAGATGCTCATCACAGCCAAATAAGTGTGATGCCAAGATCAGTTTTGTGTTTCTGCTTCTGGTTCTAGCATTCCCTGTGCTCTTCCCCCTCAACCTTTGCGCAGAGAATTTTGTGGGGGAAAGGAAAGGTTAACATCCAAGATTTCAGCATTCCAAGAGGTTATTTTCAAATATTAAACAACTTTATTTCTGTGCTCCTTTCCAGAAAAGAAAGTGTTAGCTTTATTTTTATGACTCTCTGGCCAAAAGCAGTGTGCAAGTAGAGATGCAAAGTAATAACTTGACAGAGTTTTAAAAAGGACCAAACATCAGATAAGACAAAAGAAATAGTAGATAAACGAGTCAGTTCTCAGTGAAACTCCCTTCCGTTTGTTCTCCTGTTGCCAGACTGACTCATGGACTCAAAGTCTAGGAGCCCACAGGGCCTTACCTAGATCCGATTAAAATCATAATACCTTACATTTCTGCAGAGCGTTATGGTTTTCAAAACGTGCTCATTTTTGCCGTGATTATCCTATATCATATTTTCTAACTTATTACATCTTATTCTTGTTCAAGAGACAAACTAGAGAATTGTGGTTTATATTCCATAAAGTCACCGCCATACCCCAAGGAGATTAATACAACCTATAATGGTAACTACTCTTTTCTTTAAAAACCTTCTTGGCCCTAGTAGCAGTGAGCACACCCGAGGCCCAAATCTTGCCTTCACGCCATTCTCCATTAAAAGGAACCATAGCTTCTTGGAGAAATGGCTGATTCTAGGACTGAGTATCAGTAGGAGCCTGGAGCACCTTGTAGCACCATAAAGAAAGAAAGTGCTGAGAAACAGACATAATGATGGGTGTGTGAGTCAAAGAAGTCAAGCGCTCGCTGAGAGAGTTCCCAATGGCCGAAGTTGCAACAGTTTGAGCAGCCAAAGGAATAAGTATTGGAATATAACACAGTATAAGATATATATCCATGAGTTCATACTGGTATAAATGATTGAATAAATAAATAAATGGGACGAATAGACAAATTTCCCATGCAGAAGAATTTCAAACAATCGATGTAGATACTCCTTCGTCGAGGAAGTGACACATAACTCCCCCCGCCGAGGGTGGGCTGTGGAGAGTGACTCTTTCCCAAGAGTCCAGCAGGGAAGGGGAAAGTTAGAGACAAGTTCCAGTCAGCTTCAACAGAGGTGAGTCCTGTCGGTAACGTGGGCCCTCGATATGATGCGATGAGAAGGGCCTTCCCCTCCGTGGTCTTCCTCCCAAACCCATGAGCTCAGTCTAATCGTGAGAAAACCATTAGACAAACCCAAATTGAGTGGCAAAGAACAAAATGCGTCACCAGTACGCCTCAAAACTGTCAAGGTCATCAAAACCAAGGGAAGTGCGAGAAACTGTCACAGCCCAAGGAGCCTGAGGAGCCACGACAGCTGCACGCAGTGTGATATCCTGGCTGGGACCCCAGAACAGAAAAAGGACATTAGATAAAAACCGGAAATCTGAGTAAACTATGACTTTAGGTCATAATACTGCATCAATCAATGTTGGTGAATTAGTTGTGACGCATGTGCCATACCAATGTAAGATAATCATGGAGGAAACTGACCGACTGGGTGTGGAGTGTATGGGAACTCTATGCTAGCTTCCCATTTTTTCAGTAAATATAAAACTACCTTAAAATTACAAGTAAAAAACAAACAAGCCTCCTGGGTTAAGATTTTGCTCCTGACACTGCCACCCACGGTTCGGCCACTCTCATTCCATTTCCACATTTCCCTGCTTCTGGAAGCCGTCCCAGGTCCCTTGGGGAAGCACGCAGAGGCACAGAGCTGTA